GTCAAGACAAAAGTGTAGAGAAAAGCACTTTAAAACAGTGGTTTACCATAACTATTGGTCTTTCCCCTGTTGAGTGTTTGGGACAGAGCTATCCCCACATTCCCTCAAGCAGAGAGTACTCTCCTATCCTAATATCACAATGATATCTTGCATTTTGAAATGCAGGAGGAATTGCTAAACTTACAGCAAGCACTGTGAAGAAATGACCAGTGAACAACTAACATGGAGCTGACAGCCGTCCCAGGGTGGTTGTGAGGTTTGTTGACTGTTGAAGAATAACCTGGCTCTGGCTGACAGTGATAAAGTCAGGAGGCCAATATTAGAAACTGCAGGGCTGGAGGAACCTCTCAGCAGCTCTGCTGACGGTGCCAAGGTTTACAACACACCCTTCTGCTGCCACATCTACTGGGCTCGTGTTGCCTAGGGTGTGATTCACATACAAGGCTGGCTCTGCATGTGAAGGGGAAGCATGAAGACACAGTAACACAGAAAATATTTCCTACTGTTAAACAAGAATGTGCTCTCTGGTAATCTGTGGTTCATTAGACATGCTCTAAAGCTGGCTGTTTAAGAATCTCACTAATTCTCCAGTAAACATACATCCTTTCCACCTCTTCCTGTCAACACACTGCTAAAAGAAGACTCATAAAATAGAAAACCAGATAGGATAAATAAATAAATAAATATTGAACCATTTTTCAGCTATCATTTTTCAAGAGCACTAACTAGGCACACTCCTTTCCGCATGTTTCTTTAGAGACGCTATACTCATGTGATCTTTAGAGCCTTGAATAGGAAGAAAAAGTAGCCAGTCATCTCCCAATGGTCTATATACCTTATATATGAAAAGCTAATAAAACCTTAGACTGTTCCTATTCTGAAACATTCTTCAGAACAAACAAAAAGTTACTTCAGTGACAATTGTTTTCTTTAGCCTTTCTTTTACCTGTGTCTTTAGACATGCAAGACAGCCATCAGAAGAGCAGATATGGCAAGGCAAATGCAAAGAACCAGTCAAATCTGCAAAGGCTGCTGTAGCAGAGGGAATAAATATGAGCTTGATGTCATGACATAAAAATACACCCCACTGTGTCTCCTGGAATTGCCGGGACAAAAGGAGCAAGAGTAAGTGACATAATCCAGAAGAAAGTTGCAATTCTCCACTCTTCAGTGGGAAGGCAAACAGTAATAAGTTCATATCTCCATAAACTTTTTTGTGAGGCTGAGACTTGTGGCAAGGGACTTCATAGTGGCTTTGCACCACTTAAAGACCTCAAAGGAGGTCTTCAGTGGGTTCCAAACAGCAGCTTGCTCTATGCTGCTGCTTACATTCCTGACCATTCCTGCAGTGCAGGTGAAGAACCTGAAGCCCCTCCAGTCCCCTTAATCTGTCAATTTGCAATGGTTTTAATTGACAGACAAGGACGGGAGAACCTCAGCTGGGCTCATTCACCTGCAGGGCTTGATGCCCTCCCAGCCCTGTCCCTCTGATAGCTGGGAGATCCTGGATGTCAGCAGGCTTCCAAACAGTGGCTCCCAGGGGAGTCACCTCCTCCTTGGGCTGGGGAACACATATCCTTGTTGTCCTTACGGACTTGAGGTGCATACAAGCAAGCAATGCAGAATTTTATCTGGTGTTTATGTTGCATGTAACTTAGCACTCATCCTAACTACCCTAAAATTTAATATTTAAATATGTTTATAGTCTTTACTTGCAGGGTCTAATACTGGTCTCATGTGTCAGCTCACCCTTTGATATCAAAAACAATCACTACAGAAAGACACAAGCAATTGATTATGGAGTGAACTGTACTCAATAATTTTAACATAAGATAGTGATAAGAGTATGTAGTTTCACAAGTGGGTTTCCCATTAACATTCTTGTAACAGCATCTAAAGCATTCATTTGAGAATCTCCACTTCTCATTAATAGAAATTTATATTCTGGATGCATCATGCTGCTGACTGTGCAACTGCAAGGCACTTGGAGCAAACTACATTGGAGATGGGAATGTGAAAAAGAGGCTATGAATTCAAGAGAATATGACACCAAACTTCACACTAAAATCAAAGAGCCCAGGAAACACTGGATGTAGAGCTCTTCTGTAGCCTGAATGTTATTATATAAGGACCTTGGAGATAGCACAGAAAAGCTGACATCACCTTATTATCTTCCATACCTTGCTCAGCATGGCATTTCATCATCAAACCTGAGGAAAGACCATGATCCTCACCATCTGAGAATTTGGTTTTATATAATTACGAGTGTACATGTATTATTCCTTCAGAGAAATAATGGTTATTCTACTCCAAGAACTTTCTGAAACACTCTTAGTAACTGTATATTTCCTGTTTTATTTCACAAGGGGAAGCAGAGCAAACAGGTGCCAAGTAAAAAGCATGTTGTAGACATTGCCTAAATTACTGTGCTATTTCCAATTGCTTCTTTTTATTACAGTTACTCATCTCTTGACACCAGTTTCTCTTCTCAGAGCAGAAGAGAAACAAGAGGCCAAGAGAAGAAGCTGATGGAGGAGAGGACTGGGGGCTTTCTTGTAAGATGCAAGTGCTGAATATCCAAAATAACAGTATTGTGTAAATAAGGCACTTAAACAGAAGTGTTTTCTGTGCTCATTTCATCTGCTGTTCCTGGAGAAGGAAGCGAATAAATGCTTGTGATGCAATCATGAAGTTTGTGTGTCACTCCCAGCTGTGTTTCCACTCTTGTGGCTCCTGTAATTCTTTAAATTTGCACATTTTCATTTTCAGCCTGGCTCAGCAGTAGCCCAGGGCTGCCAGCCAGTGGCTGCACCACACATCACACATCTGAACTACTGCTCTCCTAAGCCTGTAGCTTTTATTTGCCACATCATAAGAATTCAACAGAAGTATTAATTCCACCCCTGATGTGGTCAATGAGAATTTACTCGGTTGAAAATACCAACTTAAGTCACATTTATCAGTTAAAAATCCTAATACAGAAATTACTCTTACGGTGATATTTAAAGCTCTAACGTGGAGAGCATTTCTGTCCCACACTTCAATCAAAAAGCTGAAAGGAGCAAGCACTAAATTCAGTGGAGTGCCTCAGTAGCTGCCAGTCCAGCAGATGGCACAAGCTGAGCTTTCCGGGTTATTTCTGGTGCTCACCCTTCTCTCGGCCCCATCGTGCCCTGCCAGCAAGCGTTCCCTGTGTTACCCCAGGTCATACACACCCAAGGTCACACGCACATGCCTGGGAGACAGAACCCCAGCAGCATTTCTAGCTGGCATTCCATGGCAGGATCCCTGCAGAAACGAGGAGCATGACAGAGCTACAGAGACAGCACATGAAGCAGGCTTACCTTCCAGGCAGCCAGGAGCCAAGGGTGGGAAGCTGATCCTTAGGAGAGATGGGTCCACATTCCTACGGCAGCACCCGACAGCTGCTGCTGTCACTCCCTGGTCCACCCCGCTGGCTCTGCAAACACTCACAGAGCAGGAGATTGCAGGCGTGGAAAAAGGAAAACAGCACAGGCACCACAAGTCTCTGCCTTGTGTGTGAGGGAGCAGTCCTACATGTCATGTACAGAGAGCAGAAGGCTCCTTGACAAATTTTCTCCAAAGGGAGAAGTTTATTTATGTTTGAGGATGAAAACAAGGAAGGTTATTTCAACATTACAATAAATTGATTCCAAGAGCTCAGGTCCTTTTCTGACATGGCAGTCCATGGAAGCTGTACATGCATTCTTCTCTTTGCAGGTCTTTTAAGTTAATGGTTTTAAAGTGGACTATCCTTGCACTGGCAAGGTCCTACATCTAACTGTACTCCAGAAGTAGATAGTAATGGAACAACAGACTTCTTTTCTGTCAGATATCCATTGTTTCAGCTATATAGATGATGTCCCTGAATATTACTGCTACATCCCAACAAATCAAATTATCCTGGGCTGTAAAATATACATCAATAGATTAGTTACACAAAGAAAAAAATCTTCCCTCCTATATTGATTGGTACTGTTTGCCATGCCTTCCTCCACAGTAATGAATGCAACAATAATGAGATGGGGCTAATGAAATACATTAATAAATCACATAGCTATCTTTTAAATGATGTGGCAGCTGAGAATGAGGAGAAGCCCACTCCCCACAGAAAACAAGCAGTCCATAGCCAGGCAGTAGCTTTTTCTAGTCACCCCCCAGGTCAGCAGGAAATGAGGAAACAGGATATGAGCTGTCATTAACAGACCTACTCCCATCAAGTCTCTCCACCTTCTGTCTCTGCCCATTCTTATCAAACAGCCAAACCTCAAGAGACTTTACTCAGTGCTGATAAGGACACCAGCATCTGACATTTGCCTCTGCCCCTCTTATACAGAGCAAGGGCAAAACACAATTAACTGCCACTGATTTTTTTTTTTTTCCTTAATAAAAGCTTGAATAAGCATAGGCTTCAATTTATTTTGTAGAGCTGCATGTCCATAGAGAGTGATACCACAGTAAGTTTATACTCACAGCAAAATTTTCAAAACTGCAATATGAAATTTGCCTTGAAAATCAGTGAAGGACAGATAAAAATCTCAGTGTATAAAACTTATCTGAATGGCAACAGCATTTGGTTAAAAGTTTGTCATTTTTGATAGCAAATGTTTTGATTTCCAAGATCTAATGGAAAATATAAACCAAACACTTGTGCATGTGAAGTAAAAAGGAAGAAAATACTAAGTTCTCAACAGAATTCTTATTGTACTAGCTTTCAACTACAACTTGTTCTGCAATCTAAGGCTGACTTATAACAGCTGAGGGTCTGTGGGTTTTTTTGCACAAAGTAGTAGTAAATGGTACATTACTGGCTGGAGTGCCAAAGCATTTGTAGGTTCTGAGACTGATAATTTTGCAACATGCCTTGATCAAACATTGAGTCATGGTGGAAGAACCCTGTATAGTTTGGAGGAAGAAAAGAGATGGGAAACAAATATTTTAAATAAAATTTCATTTATCGATATCATTTAAGCCTATGCTTACGCACATTATACAGTTTTTAATATTACAGTCATAGCAGATTCTAAGATAATGTTCATATTGCAAATGAATGAAGTTAGCTTAATATTCCTATTGCTATCAATTAAAATGCAGATGTACAAGATAATGAAGAAACAAAGTGGATGCCATTGACTTGATATCATACTGTTAGCGCAAATCCATCTTTTCAAAATAAAATATCCCTTTTGTAAGTAGGAGATATTGTTCTTTTTGTGAAAGCCATACCCTCTTGGGAACTTTCTGTAAAAGCATTCATTGAAGTTATATATTAATGATCACCTGAGAAATCTTTCTCAAGAATGTGAATAAAATATGAGAATTTATCAGGTTACTGAGTTGTGCTATATCACATTTACAGGAAAATAAATGTATAAACATCATAAAAATCATCAATGCACTCTTAATGTACATGAAAAGAAAGTCATGGCATTCTAGCAGGGCCAGACCCCACCTCTGAGTTAAGGCAGCACCGTGGAACCCCCAAAAAAGAACAGTCCCAAACAATTCTTCTTAAACAGCTAAAAATGCATTAGAAACCAATGCACTGAATAGTAGTGAAGAGAATTAAAGGATTGAAAACTCCTGTACAGGACAATTTCCTCTTAAATGCTTACCTCACACACACACACACACACAAACACACACACATATACATGAAATACAGGCATACTGCAGTAAGGCAAATTAGAAGTGTTCTGCTCATATGCAAGTCAGGGGAAACAAGTAAATTTCAGACAGTTCCTCATGCATAAGAAATTGCTTCTCACTTCACTCTCAGGTACATGGTTGCATAAGGTGCCTCCTGCATTTGGATTTAATACAATACAACTTACAGGTCCTGTTCCAATCTGATATACATTCACATTACTGATATAACTGGAGAAACTGCTCTTTATTACAATGGAATGAGATACAGAATTCCAACACAGATAACATTTCTCAGTGGGTAAAAAAAAACAGGACTATTTAAAAGACAGATTTTTTTAAAAATTCTCATAGAAAATGACATTAAAAGGGACAAATCAAAGGAACCTGGGGAAAGATAGAAGGATGGGCTGTATAGACAGAACATGGACACAATATTTTAAAAAATCCCACACAACTATACAGTTGGTTTCAATGTGTTTCCAAATGGGTGAAGTACCTTCTGAATAAAAATCACCTGCTTTTTTCTCCATTACATTTAGGTGCTTCAGGGTAACTTTACAAGTGGCTACTGAAACATGTGGTAACATTCACATAACTTGACCCAGTGCATTTCATTCCAGGTTCACAAGTTCTTGCTGAAGGAAGTTCAAGGCAAAGAAATACAAAGAGGGTTCTCCTCACCAATCCATCCTCCATTTTCACTATAAATAAGGCATAGCGGTTCAAGTCCTACATTAAATGTAATCAAACAATGGGAAAGAAAACCACCCATGAACTCCTGCCGTAAAAGTACTTTATTAGGGAGGATAAAAAGCACTGCTCAGACAGTCTGAATAGGCATGACCTTCTGCGCTGTCAGGCTCCTCGGGCTCAAAGTCTTCAGGGTCTGGGGGCAACTGGTCGGCATCTTCATCAGAAGTGGAAGGGCGTGTGAGGATTATCCGAGGTATCTTCAGCAAGATGTGAAAGATTTCAGAGAAAAAAATCAAATCAAAAGCATGAAAGAGTTTAATAGGAATATTTTAAAGGGACAGGGGAAACAGGTGGTAAGAAAAATATGTGAGAGGTGTAACACCATAGAGAATCATAGAATAGAATTGTTTAGGTTGGAAAAGACCTTTAACATCATCAAGTCCAACTACTAACCCAGCACTGCCAAGTCCACCACTAAACCACATCCTTAAGTGCCACAGCTACATGTCTTTTAAATACCTCCAGGGATGGTGACTCAGCCACTTCCCTGGGCAATGTGCTCCAATGCTCAAACACCCTTTCTATAAAAACTTTTTTTCTAATATCCAGTATATACATACCCTGGCACAAGTTCAGATCATCTCCTCTTGCCCTGTCACTTCTTACATGGCAGAAGAGACCAAACTTCAACTTTTTACAGTCTCCTTTCAGGCAGCTGTAGACAGTAATGAGGTCTCCTCTGAGTCTCTTCTTCTCCAGGCTAAACACCCCCAGCTCCCTCAGCTGCTCCTCACAGGACCTGTGCTGCAGACCTTCCCCAGCTCCACTCTCCTTCCCTGGACTCCCTGCAGCCCCTCAGTGTCTTTCTCATTGTGAGGGGCCCAGAACTGGACCCAGCACTGGAGGTGCGGCCTCAGCGGTGCTGAGTACAGGGGGACAATCCCTGCCCTGGTCCTGCTGGCCTCACTATTGCTGACACAGGCCAGGATGCCACTTGGCCTGTATCTTGGCCACATGGACATACACTGGTTCATAATCAGTCAGCTGAAGTCCAACACCCCCAGGTCCTTTTCCACTGGGCAGCCAGCCCCCAGCCCCTCCTTTTCCACTCTGCCCCCAGCCTGAAGCTCTGCATGGGGCTGTTGTGACTGAAGGGCAGAACCCGACTCTTGGCATCATTGAACCTCACACAACTGGCCTTAGACCATCAATCCAACCTGTCCAAATCCCTCTGCTAAGCCTTCCTGCCCTCCAGCAGATGAACACTGCCACCCAGCCTGGTGTCACCAGCAAACCTAGTGAGGGTGCACTCAGTTCTGTCATCCAGATCATTGATGAAGATGTTAAAGAGGACTGGCCCCTGTACTGAGTCCTGGGAAACACCACCAGTGACCAGCCACCAGCTGAATTCATCACCATCCTCTGGGCCTGGACATCCAGCCAGTTTTTCACCCAGCAACAGTGCTCCTGTCCAAACCATCAGCAGCCAGATTCTCCAGGAGAATGCTCTGAGAAATGAAGTCAAAGGCTTTACTAAATTCTAGGTCGACAACATCGAAGTGGGTCACTTTGTCATACAAGATTAGGCCAGTCAAGTTGAAGTTTTTGGATCCTCCTTCCAGCCCCTCTTCTAGACAGGAATCACATTTGCCAACTTCCAGTCAGCTGAGACCTTCCCAGTTAGCCAGGACTGCCAAGAGATGATGAAAGGGGCTCGGTGAGCACTTCCAGCTCTCTCAGTACCCCTGGGTAAATTCCATCTGGCCCCATGGACATATGTGTGTCTAAGCTGTGCAACAGGTGTTGAACATTTCCCTTTGGATTATGGGGCTTTCATTCTACTCCCTATCCTTGTGTTACAGCTTAGGGGACTGGCACCCAGAGAACAACTGATCTTGCTATTGAACACTGAGGCAAAGAAGGCACTAAGTACCTCAGACTTTTCCTTATCCTTTGTCTTTGTTTCTTACCACTTCCAATAAAGCATGATTCCCCTCAGTCCTCCTTTCATTTTTTGTTTTATGCCAAAAAGCCATCGATACAGCAAAATTAGGATAAATTACCCTTTCCTCTCATTAGCTAATCTTTTAAAAAAAAACTTCTCTAGGTGAAAAAAAGATTAAGAATTTTTTTTAAAGTAAAGACAAGTAAATATGAAAAATTAATTTAACTTCATAATTCATTCAATTCATCCCCCTGAAAGCAATAAAGGATTAATTAAGAACCATAAATCATATCAGTTATTGATCTTGGAAAAATTGCATATTTCAGCTTCTTTACTACACAGAACATATTTAAGGGAAACAGTAAGAGAAAATATAAATGTTTAAATTTGTCAGTAAAATATGCATACATGGCTTTGATTCATGATTTTTTTGGAGAAGAACTTTGTGTTCTTTGAGAATCATATTAAGTCATATCAATCATATTAAGCAATGTTTTAAAATTAATTTAAATACAGTAACCTAGGAAAGAAAAGAGTGTCAGGCTCTTGATGTATAGTCATATAATGTATCAGTAATTGTTCTTATCAATGAATGGATTATTACAAATTTCACTCTGATGCACAAAATCATCCTCCTTTTTACTGCTTCCCAAAAAAGGTTTAACATGTAATGAAAACATATAAGGGTGAGCTAATGTATCTAACAAACAGGTAAGAAGATAATGTGTAATAAATAAAGTAGACATCTTACTAGCAGTATGAAAATTTTCAAGAAAGTTAGAGCTTCTTATTTATCAGCTACTTCTACCTCATGAGAACATTTAATGTTGACATCACACGATTCAATTGTTTATATATTATTTTCTTGCTGTACATTATTTGATTTAGGAAATGACACAACCATATAGATGCTTTGTGGCTGTTGTACTTTCAGCCAGGAGGTTTCTACATTGAAGTAAAATAAATTATTCCCCAGGCTCCCCTGACATTAGGTCCAGCTCCCCTTGGCTCACAGCACACTACACATAAGACACCAAAGTGCAGGTATCAATCCAGAGCTGAATCTCACCCCTGGTAAATGTAAATGAATTTTAAAACCATGTGTAAATTTAGTGTATACCCTGGTGTACTAAGTGCCCAGTTATACACCTTTCCTGCTCCCCCCCCCCCCCCCCCCGCTTCTTTTTCTTCTTGCTTAAATTAGGAAGGGCATATTTCTGGAAGCTTTAAATAACCTATATAAGATCCTAAGCACTGGCAAAGCTACAGCTCCTGGGAAGATGTGCTTTTGTCATGCACACATGACATCCTTTATAAGCTTTCCTTGCACTGGATGGTTCTGTTCTTTGCTGAAAGAGGCTTCTTGCTTAACAACAGCGAGCAGCTTTGCAGTACAGCAAATGCATACCTATACATACAGGTGCTTTACCAGGTCACATAATGAAATTCTGACACCTCAAGAAACACTGAAGTCCATCCTCTAAGTTACTTACAGTCATATCCAGGACCAGGCTTTGCATTTCATTGAGCTGTCAGTTGAAAGCTCAGGGAAGACCTTTCTTTGTGTACTGTGCTGTTCAAAAATAGATACATGCACACCTCCCCATGAATGACATGTATTTCATTAGCAGTGCAGAGTCACCAGTACCTATTTGTCATTTTGAAGAAAAGACCTTAGCCATTTTGAATGTCAGTTTTTTAAGTACTCTTTTTCAGCATGGTTCCAACTCCCCAGTTTCCAAAGAACCAAAACTAATTCTCAAAAGAGATTTTCTTCAAACATTTCATGACTGCTTGCATACTATCTATCAAATATTATTATGGAATTAGGTCTGAAAATTATAAAATAAATTTAATTGATGAAAAGTGCTCCCTCAACATTTCTGAGGTGATTGTGTTAACTGCTCCACAAAACAGATGGTGTTGGGGAAGTCTTACATCTAATCTTTCGTGTTGCTGCAGGTAAAGAGGAAGCAGCACTAAATGAACAACCAATTTTCTACAGCAGAGGCTGAACTGTGTTTCAGCCCAGAAGCACTGCAAAGGCTGGAAACCTGCACTCCCAAGAGAAGAGTGGGCTCAGGTCTGATCCACAGCAGCCCCTCTGTGCCTCTCCAGGCAGGTGAAAGCTCACACAGAGTCTGATTCACGCTGATTTGGAGACATTCTGTCAACTCCTTCTGACAAATCAGAGGTCCCGTCCAAGTGCAGCTGTATCTCTGCCCCTCTGCTTTCTGCACATCTCCCTGCCTACTCTCCCTCTGGAACCCTAGGTGAACCTATGCCACTACTGTCCCTAAACCATGGCTGCTCCTTCCCCTGCAGCCAGTCATCCTCCTCTGTGCCTCTCTCCATGTCAGGGTGCTGAGGAACCCATTTCCTCAAATCTGAATCATGGGTACCAATGAAAAAACAACTCTCAGCTGAGCATGGTGCCACTTATGCAATTGCAAATGCAACTAAGTGTCGAGCATGCATTTGTACAAGATCTAATTCAATAAAAAGAGGCTCAGGCCTCTAATCTCTCTCCTTGCAGCAAAAGTTAGCGATTAAGCTCCTCTATAAGCCAAAACCAACACAGAATGGATGTAAGAAACACACATCACACTTCTAACCACAGTGGCCTAATTATTTTCACCTAACCCTCCCCGAAGAACCCAGCACTCTCTATCACTGCCTTCACATTCACCCAAGCTCCAGGAACATCACAATATAAGCTTTATTAGCTTCCTTTAGTCTTTCAGTTTTGTTAAATCAAAATACAACAACAACAAAACAAACCACAAACAAAAGAAAGTAACAAAACTCAACAACTCTAAACTTGCATTATGTTTTGTTATATCCTTTTTCCAAACCCAGTGCTTCTCTTCCCAGAATCCTGGACTTTACCTTCACTCTCTTATTTCCCTGCTTATCTTCACTGACCTCAGCATTACCCTATTAAATAGACAAGCTTTGCTCTTAGAGCTTTTCTTGACTATTTCTATTTGAATGTACATTTCCTGGGGCAGCATGATTAAGGGAAGGTAGGAGAACAGATTTCCTACATGAAAAAATGGCACAGCAAAGAGGAAACACACCATTTCCACTGCCATTACAGACAGGGCAACACAGAGACATTTAGGATGGCAATAATGAAAACCCTTCCAGTACAGGCACCTTAGTTGCTTGTCTAAGGCATGTGGGAAGGTGTGAAACTTCCATCTTCTACAGATAATTCTGCAAAAAAAAAAAAAAATGCCAGTGTAGGAGGACAAATTATCTAGATTTTCTGTTATTCCTTTGTTTTCTCCACTGGTAGTTACTCAGCAG